ATTACTTCCCTCTATACACAACTGGTGAGGACACATCTGGAGCAGTTTGTCCAGTTTTGGGTCCCTGACTACAGGAAGGATTTGGACAAATTGGAGAGAGTCCAGTGGAGGGTAGTGAAACTGGTTAGGTACACCGTGTGGAATTATGCAACTATGCGTTCATGCAAATTTGCGCATAAAAGGCATGACCATGGATAACTGCATAATTGTGCATAATTTAATTGTGGCGGGTTCTGTGCCTCCAACTCCATGATTGTGGAGGCACAGAGCTGTGCGGCTAGACAGCCGGGTAAGTGGAGAGAGGAGCTGTTGCCTGCAGGAGGGGGTCAATGTGGGGTTTGTGGGTGGGTGTGGAGGTGTGTGTGAGGTTCGTAGGGGGGTATGGGCTGTGTACCATTGGGCCAGGCTAGCTGTCTCAGTGCCTCCACATGCGGCTTTCAGCTCTCCAATGGGAAGCTGCATGTGGAGGCAAGTAGGAGCCTGTCTGGCTACAGAGGTGAAGTTGGGGTGGGGATGCAGAGTCAGAGCTGCAACAGCTGCCTGCTCCCTCCTCCACTTTGTATGCGAATCTAACTTAATGAGTTTTTTTCCCCATACTGATTGTGCGGGAAAAAACACCTCCTCTTATATTTCAAGTAAATAGTGTACTGTCTCTGGGTAGCTGTCTCCTCTGGCCTGAAGAAAAATGTCTCATATTTGAAAGCTTGTCTAAGTCTTTCCCAACTACAACTAAAGAAATTCTTGCCTCACATACTTCCTGAGCCAGCATGGATAGAGCACCCCTAAAGCTATGAAAATATACCAATTCTTTTTTTTTTCCTAAGTAAAGTTTTGAGACCATATTCACAGAATCAAGCTAAGAACATTTTAAAAATTGAGGTAAGTTTGTTTTGGCAAAAAAATTGAGGCATTTTTATTTTGGTTCAATGGCGGCCTCCCATGTAGTTTAGGCTCCAAACAAAAAATCAGGTTTTTTTGTACAACCATAATTTGCAAATTTCACACAAGCAAGTAGGGGAAATGACTAAGGATCATGTTTTTAAAGGTATTTGGACACTTAACTGTCATTGATTCAGAAATTGATTTAAAATATGTGGCCTTTGCAGATGTTGTAATTTTTCTGAAGTTTAACCTACAAGTTTATTACTAAAAGCCTAGACACCTTTCCTAAAGTTGTCTAAATCTGTGAAAATAGAAACTCATCACAGATATGTCTCTGAACTTAGTGACTCTTTGAATAATAAAATATTTTTCTATATTCTACACAATACTTTGGCGGTAAGCAGAATGAATCCTACTCTGCCAGTACTGGATGTTTTCACATCAGTACATCATTAAGCCATATGCATTTAACACCTCTCCTTTATTTTGTTTACAGGATTAGAAAGAGGAATGCATCTATATTATTTTTGTACATATTTTTTCAAAATCTCTCATTGTGCCTCTTCCATTGCCAATTTTGTAACAAAGCATATGGTTCCTTAGCTTCTATTTTCCTTAGTTAGCAAAATTACAGCATGAATTCATTTTGGACCTCTGGTTTAAAGTTGCAGTTATGGCAATTTGCCTTACGTTTGATAGGCCATTCTGCTTCCTAGTTGCCAGTCCACTTAGAAAGAAGCCATTCTTCTATGCTTGTAATGGGAAAAAACACCAAGTATTACTTTCCAGTGTCCATTTATCTTTAGGATGAACTGCACAGAATCAAAAATATCATAAAGAGCTTGTTGAGCAATGAAGAATGAGTTCTGAAGGTAGCTGACAGGGCAAAATGACTTCAGAATTTGAAGACCTGCCTCTGTCCATAGAGGCCCCGAGGCTTCTGAACTGAGGCAATGAGGGCCAGGGTTTGTAAAATAAGCTTTTGGTATCTTACAGTTCAGATTATCCCAGTGCAAGGTTTTCTCATCTGTGTATTTAATTTGTTTTATGTTAGTATCTATGCACAAGGGTGGTGTATTTTTATCATAGTATGCCAGTTGCTCTGTTTTGCAGAAGAAAACAGGAGATGACTCAGAAGACTGCAGAGGAAGAAGAAAGATATCATAAAGAAATTGGACAGTAAGTAATTGCCTAGGTACACTAAATACACTACATATAATGACTAGTTAAGTATACTAGACCTCATGATAATAATTCTGGCAATATCTTTTAAGCAAACATTCCTGTTTTGTCAATATGCAAATCTTTGCTAGTTTTTTTCTTTTTAACAAAAAAAATTTCAGTGAAGAATAGAAAGCTGATTTTCCTTTCCTTTTCCCACTTTTGTCAACTGCAAACTTGGATGAACAGGAGAAAAAAATTCAGTAAAGCTCCAAATTATTACTCAACCAGCTGAAATGTATTATTTATAATAGCCTGCTTGTTCTCAGTAGTGGCAGATAACAGAACAGGGAGCAATGGTATTAAGTTGCAGCAGGGAAGTTTAGGCTAGATATTAGGAAAAACTTTTTCACTAGGACAGTGGTAAAACACTGGAACAGGTTACCCAGAGGTTGTGGACAGCGTTCCCTCTAAGCTGTGTGGCACGTGTGGTTGCGCAGGCACGCCTGGCAGTGCTGTATGAGTGTGCCTGCCTGGCTACGCACACCACACAGCTTAGAGGGAACGCTGGTTATGGACTCTCCATCCTTGTAGGTTTTTAAGACCTGACTAGACAAAACCTTGGCTGGGATAATCTAGCTAGGGATGGTCCTGCTTTGAGTGGAGGGTTGGACTGGATGACCTCCTGAGGTCCCTTCCAACCCTAATTTTCTGTGATTCTGCTCACTTAGAGAAGAATTGGATTTTCCAGCATTTGCTCCCGGGGACACTGATACATGAGACGCTCCGAGCGCTTTAATTAGAGCAGCTCTCACTGTGTCCATCCCTGCCTCACCCCCAGACCACATGTGTAGACAGCCTTAGAGACTAACTGATTCAGAGAGACATAAGCTTTCATGGGCATCTGATGCATCTGACAATGTAAGCTGTTGTCTGTGAAAGCTTGTGCTTGTCTGAACCAAGTGGTCTATAAGGTGCCACCCTACCTTGGTTTTTATCCAACTTCAGCCTAGCATGGCTAATTACCTCTCTAAGTTAAGACAAGATTGTTTTCTAAAAGAGATGTTACAGCTCAAACAGAAGCTCATATAAAAATTGTTGAGGGAGTTTTAAGTTCTTTAACTTGTCTTGTGCAGTCAGATTAGAGGATCCATAAGTGTTTCTCCTGGCCTTAAAATCAGTCAAGGGTGCTGAGAATTGTCTTCTCCAGAGCATACCCCAGTGTAACGTCAGACCAGTTCACGTGGTTACTGTGCATATGTAATTGCAGGGACTTGAATTTCCTTCAGCTTCTATGAACCTTTCCCCCATCTAGTTTATTGAGAAAACTATTGTTATAGGCCATAAACAGCATCAAAATGGCTAGTTAGCAGATCTGCACACATTTTACCATAAGTCATGTGCATTAGTTCTGCTGGTGAATAAAATAGTAGACACATATATACAATAAGAGTTATGCTTTTTAAATGAATTGGATGGAAATAATTTGTATTCAAAAGTAACAAAATATTCTTTGAATTATGTAATATTTTAAAAATCAGAACATTAAGCAATATGTTTTGTGTTTGTTAGGATAACAGCAGAGGAAGAGAAATTTAAGAAACAATGGGAAGAGGACTGGGCACCTAAAGAGCCACCTAAAACTGTAAAAACTGTGACTGCTGAAGTTCACCGTGCCCCTTCTCCTAAACACAGAGGTAAGCAACAGATTCTGTCCTGTTCACTACGGAAAATGGTGCTGGAGGAACAGTATCTGTCTTAGATATATAGAATATTTCACCAGTTCAATTTCAACACATTATAGACATGAGTAAAGGTTAATACTTCTTGATTGTTTGCAAACCTATGAGATGTGTGCTTAGTGGTATCTAGGTTACAAGTCCCACCACCAGGCTTAACTGTAAGCCTTTTTACAGCCTCTGCAAAGAAATATGTTGGCCTGGAAACTGAGCTGTCCCACCTAGAGATAGTGAGTCTTCCCAGCCAGGACTGAGGAGAGGTTTACTTTGCTGTTGTCCATATTACTTTTATTCAGCAGGTTCTGTAAGTTTCAGAAATGTCAACCTCTGGCAGATTTCCCAAGTAGTAATGGTATGATTTTCATTGAACTGCTCTCCACTGGAGATGCTTTTATGCTGAACGCTTAAAAAAACAACAACAACTGGTTCCTCAATGGGAGCTAAGCTGTTGTATGAACGTTTGCCCCAAATGCTTATATGCTGGATGTATGCACATGTATGTGTGAATCTGAGAAAATTTCATAAAATGTGCTACATGCTCTAATTTAATATCTATGAAGAAAATATTTTCTTCATAAAAGATTACAGGATTTATGGGCATTTTGTTACCTCAGAGCCCAGTGTCAGTATTTTAACTCCTTATCTAGTGAATAATCAGCTATGCAGTCATCAGTTTCATGATTGGTGTCTGACCTGGGAGAGATCTTAGGGAAATGGAGTAGTTGAAGGTAGAAATTTAATAGTTGGCTTTCAAACTGAGATGGAGTAAGTGGATGCTCTCAGTTCATGTTGGGGAGAATGGGAAGATGGTAGTCTCCCTCTCTCTCTCTCTTATTTTTTCTTTATATATATGGAATTCATGTTTTTGGCTCAGAGGGGTAGAACCTCTCGCTGGACAGTACTCCATCAATCTGCCGAGCAACAGATGGCAGCAGTGCACAGGGCAACCCTGATTGGTCGACCCAGACTTCTCAGAGTCAGCCTGCATCTCCCTGTAGCACAAAGTGGGATTGTTTTGCATCCTACTTGGCTAGAGTAGTAGGGCATTTTTACACATGTAAGTGTCACTGCAACGCTTGTAGTTGTGTAAGCAGTGAAATGTGTGTCAGCGCTGAGAAAATGATGGCACTGCACTTTTGAACTAAAACACATAGAGGTGATTTGGTTCAAAAGTGCACTGCCACCATTTTCTGTATGCTGGCATGCATTTTGCTGCTTATACAACTGCATGTGATGCAGTGCAACGTGTGTCACTTTGTATGCATAGCAGTCGATTAATCAAGTCTGCTTCAAAGCGGCAGATCTCCAGTGCATTGCAGGACAAAAAAGTATGTGTATAAATGTCCATGGAGTCCAGCCAGAGTTGCATACTATTGGGGTAAGTGAGGAAGAAACAGGAGAAGTGCATCCTGGGATGCTAGAGGACTGTGCTGTGACTTCTTTTAGAAGCGTAAGTTGTACAGACATTCACTGTCCCAGGTGAGAGTGATTTAACACTGGTTGCTCCCAAGTTATTTTTCTCTTGCAGCAGTCCAAGTCTTGAACATCTGTACACTCATGTTTTCTTCTGAGAGACCAGCAACTCTCCCAGGAAAAAGAAAATGCCTATATGTGACTAGTTTTAGCAGTTTAGCTTTTTTGGACTCAGGTGATGGAAACTTCTTACAATCACCCAAGAGAGAAACACATGTATGAGAACAAGCCATTGACCTACTCAATAGTTACTTTGTAGTTACCATTCTTCCAAAAGAGCAAGTGGGGTAATCTTGGGAAATCACTTTGCTTCTCCATGCCCCAGTTTCCTCTTTGGTTAAATAGGGGTGATGTTACTTCCTCCTGCAGAGTGCTTTTGAGAGCTATTCATAAAGAGCTTAATGTAAGAACTAGATTTCATCATTATTACTGTATTTACTTGAATCCAAGATGAAGTTTTTTCCCTCATTTAGCATAGGGAAAAACAAGCCTCATCTTGAAGTTGAGTACCAGTGCTCTGGCTCTGGCACCAGCTGAGCCCAGGCCAGAGATGCAGCCTCTGCCTGCACCAGGCTGGAACTGCGGCCAGAGCTGCTGTTGCTGTTGCTGCAGCTGCTACTGCTGTGGCTGCTGCAGCTGCCAAGAGCCAGCAGCAGCTGTGGTGAGTTGGGTCAGGAGCCACTGGCTAGGGCCAGGGCTTAGGTGGCAGTAGGGGGTTGGAGAACAGGCAGGGATAGGGCAGTAGCACGCATAGGGATCAGGGGGATGGGGATGGAGCAGCAACATGTGTCGGGGATCAAGCAGTAGCGCATGTCATGGAACAGGCAGTGGATTGGACAGCAAATGAGATCTGGGGGTGGGTGGCAGTCTAGGGAATTAGGGGGATTGGGAGGTGATGAGGGTATGAAGGTGTCAGGGATTGGGCATGGTATTAGGCAACAGTGGAAATTTGGGGGGTTGGGGGGCAGTGAAGATCTGGAGGCAGTGGCAGTGTGGATTGAGGATCAGGTCTGGAAACAGGTGGTGGGGGCACAGGAATGGGGGGTAAATAACAGGGGGCAAGCTGCCTGTTTTTCCCTCGACCCCCCCCATTGTTGGGGGCAAGTTTAAGACAACTCTCCAGCAATTAGATTCTATAAATGGAAAATTATAACAAATTTGTAATTTTCCATTTATAGAATGAATTATTGAGGTGCCATCTTAAATTCACAATCATCCTGGATTTGGATGAGTGTGAATCATCCAAATACGATATTTGTTTTTCATGCACTAATATGGATCTTTTTCATGTATAATGCAAGCTTGTTTGTGACTGAATGCACATTCTATCCCATGACTAAATACTTGGCCCCTAAATAAGTCATGTCATCTGGTAACTAATATTCCATGCTTTTGCACCTTGTAAAAATATGTAAGGCCTGGTTTCAGCAAATACTTCTGCAGTTCTTGTATCTTATGCACAAAGGACGTAGGCACCTGCTTAACTTTAAGAAAATGAGGAGGCTGTCAGGCTCACTCTTAGTGGGCCTACTCTCATGGTTTTATTTAAACATGTTTGTAAGTGTTTCTGGGTCAGGAGCTCAAGTCCATTTGCCAGCTTGTCAAACAGATTCATTAGCAATCTACTTGGACTAATCACTAGAGTGGAACAAATGTCCATGTCTCCTAGATGGGTTACAAGAGGTTTTTTGATGCACATGCTCTTTACTTTTCTGTTATTGAATTCCTTCCTGTTGTCCTTACTTCTTTTCTCCTCCTTGTTATGCCCTTCTTGTCACTTTCCCACCACTGCAGATTTTTAGCCCAAATTATACACTCTCTACAATCTAAAACTCCATTTAAGTCAGTGGCCATTTTTTCTTAGTAGGATTTGTCAAGGGAACAAATCTCCTCTGTAATAAGGTGCCATTTGTACACTGTAACTTTTCATAGAATTGTTGTGCATTAGCGGTAAGAGTGGTTTAGCTCTCTGAAGGCAGTGGAAGTGCTCTGAAGTTTATTTTTAACTAAAAAACTAAATCCAGTGGTGGGGGTGGCAGGGGTGTGGCAAGATGCTGGCTGGCATGGCAGGGAGGGGGTTTATCCCCCTCTGCCCCCAGGGGGCTGCAGAGCAGAGTCCCCCACCCCAGCTGCTGGAACAGTGAGGGGAGAGTCCCAGGCAGACACTGGCTTGGATCCGTGGCAGTGGGACAGGGCCAGTTCACTTGAGGCTACTGCCAGGGCTGCCCACACCACCCCTCCCACCTCCACTCCCACCTCCCCATATCACAGACTCCCTGCAGCCGAAGATGCATTCTAGCACCCCCCAGCTTCTGGCCTGAGCCAATGCAGACATGTCTCTGTATTTCCTGAATGTCTGTGCACTTGCAAATTGGTTCAGTCTAGGCAAATTAAACTAACCTGCAAAGATTGAATCAATTCAGGCTCAGGCTTTTTGAATGTCTGTCCCTAGCCCTGGAGATCGGGAGATCTGGGTTCCATTACTGACTCTGCCACAGCATTCCTGCATGACTTCGGACAAGTTGCTTAATTTTGTGCTTCGATTCCCCAGCTAAAACAGGGAGGATGACGCTTCCTTTCTCTCACTTGTCTATTTAGATTGCAGACTTGGAGGCAAGGTCTTTCTCTGACTACATGCCCTCCTAGAGCTGTGCCACAATTTGCGTAATACTGTCATATAAATATAATATTGCTGTTTTCTAGGAAGGGGAAGGGATAGTGTTTTCCTTTTAATCTGGACCAGATCATTGTTGATGGTCAAATTTGTGAGTAGTCACCATGATCCTCCCCCACCACGATCCTTCTCCAGCTTCAGTGCACTGCAGGTGCTTGAAGCTGCTTGGAGATCCTTTATTTCATTTAGATACTTCCTGATGTACCTAATATTGTAATGGCATGAAAAGCCTCACATCGTTGCTTCTTCTTTATTTCATGGAAGCCTCTAGTTGCACTCTCATTTCTGTCTCCTTATTTCCTTCCCCCTTTGTTTCTTTAGTAGATTTAAAGGGAGTTGCACGTGACCAGCTTACAGCAGATGACATGGATGGAATGAGCATGAAGCAGGACAAACAGGTTTGCTCTTCAGCCATAACTTCCTGTCCTGATTCAGATTCTTCCGATACTTCACTTCCTCCTGACAGTCTGTTTTGACACTGAACTGAGTGCTTCCTATTTTTCTCTATTTCATGGGTAGGATAGTGTCCATTTTATTTGAATAGTAAATGCTAACATAGTTACAGAGCTGAGAATATATATTGCCATTATTGTTCTCCAGAGATACCTGAAATGAATGCAAAGACTGTGGAGAAGAACAAAAATGAGAAATCAGTGTAATTAATAGTGATATTTATCAACTTCATATTTATTAATAAGTCACTGGATTCCTTGTGTGGTGCTAAATGGCTGTTTATTTTTACTTTAAGGATGTAGGTTTTAGGAAAGTATTTTTAAAGGAACATAAAGATTGAGAAATGGAGATTTTTTTTTCTCTCGGTGTTTCTCTGTAGTATGCAAGCTTGAACGTTGTTTAATCAATAACTTCATTTTGTGCAGTAAGTTATGGCTAAAGGATTGTCATGATCACTCTAAAGTATTGGGTATGACTGTAAATTATGGCACTAAGAGTGACTGCTCATATAAAATATATCAATAAAAATTAAGCTGAACATATCAGTACATGTACATATAAAGCCTTTTGATCAGTGCTGTTAAAAAGTAATTGCCATTTCTTACCGAAGTTTTGTTTTTACCCCTCAAATAGTTTTTAACCTGTTGCGAGTATATCTGGGTTGTTCTAAACCAATATTGGACTTTTCTTCAACAAACACTTTTCTTTGCATTTTTATAGCTTTTGGATGGTTTTATCGGTATGAAGGAAAATTTCCAACAATCCGCAAGGTATACAGCATATAGAGGTGTAAATTAGAGTTTGCTGTGGGTTTTGTGTTTACCTGTCCTCCTTTCTCTCTTATCATTCTTCAAATAAATGGTATAATTAGTGTACATTTATTTGTAACCACTGCGGCATGTATCAAGCTACTTTACATCACATGGACTCAGAAAATTCAAATTATTTTTACTTAATATATGCATGTGTAGATGGGTTTTTCTGGAGTGCGCCTGTAAGGTCTGATCTTTTTGAAGTACTGAGTGATTTCAAGGGAAGTTGAGAGCTGGCAGCTTCTTGCAGGAGATGCTCATCCTGTTGTATGTCTGAGTCAATAGGGTAGACAGCACAAATCTCACACGATTTGTAAGCCATCAAAATAGTGCTTAACAGAGATCTTCCAGAGGCAGAAATTCAGTGAGAATTGAAAGCTTAGTTTCTATTATTGCTTTTAAAAATCTCCCAGTAAGTGGTGTCCTAAGTGGTGAGTAGACTTTTGTGCAGGAATAAATTTCACACATAATGGATGAAGATAATCAAAACATGCTTCTAAAGTTTAATAAAAGGATAGTATGGTTTGAAGTATTACCTTTAAGTCATGCAATACTGTTTCAAATAACATCCTATTCCTGTTCTCACTTTCTGTTTCCAATATCTTTTGACACTTACAGACCTTCTGCCATTGTTGTCTTATCCCACGGATGCTTGTAAAGGTGCTTGGGGGTATGCGTGGGCAGGCAGGGACAGAGCACCGCCACCCTGCGCTGCCGCCTCCCAGGAGCAGGACTGGCTGGTGGGGGGAGGGCAGTGGCTCCCCACTGCAGGCTGCACAGATGCCACCCAGCTGGCCAGATGCGGTGGGGAGGCTGGGGGGAATTTGCACATGGCAGCTGCCACTGCGTGCAACTTCCCACCTCCCCCCACCCAGCTCCGTGTCCAGCTGCTGCCACCCTCTCCCCCCCACTCCCTGTCTGGCTACTGCCACCAGAAGGAGTACACGAAAACACATGGTCTAACTGGTTGATGTTCAGAACTGGTGGTGCCATCATATGGCCAAATCCTGCATTGCTTATACATCAGTTCTCTTACAGTTCCAGGTGTGCAGAGAAGTCAGGATAACAAATTTAATGTCAGCTTCATCTATCATGGACACTATTTAGAACAGGGGTGGCTAACCTGCAGCATGGATGCCACAAGTGGTGCACAGTCTCTGTGTGTGGCCCACAGCAGATCAGGGAGGGAGCAGGGTACACAGGAGCAGATAGTGGAGGAAGCAGAAAGCAAAGTAGCAGTTTTGTCAGGGAACACAGGAAAGGAAGCAGGCATCAGAGCAGCAAATCAAACAGGGAGCACAGGGAAGCAGAGAGCACAGGGCACAGGAAGCACTCAGAAAGGGTGCAAGGCTAATTCGTGTCATGTCTGGCAAAAATGTTGGCCGCCTCTGATATAGAGGATCCTATTTTACTACCCTGCCAGAGGAGAGATGCCAGAGTTATTTCCCTATGCATAAACCAGGTAACAACTGCACATTTTAGATATCACTTAGAACTTGTATCTCAGATGCAAATGACCACCATTTATACAGTTAGGTTATGTAAGACAAAAACATGATTCTGTTTTAAAAGTGCTAACTTGTTAGAATAAATAAATGACTCCCCTGTGCACCTCTACATTGATATTCTTTAAGCATCTACATTGCTTTTGTAAGTCTTCAAAACAATTTGAAAATATTAATAAAAGCCTAATGCAACTCTCTTGAAGTATATTGCACAGTGGGTATGTCAACATGAGATACTTTCCTGTGCAATAAACTAATCTACTGCGCAGTAAAGTGGCAGTGTCTACCCATGTGCACCATTTACTGCGCAGTACATACTGCGGAGTAATATTCATGTAGACGCTGACAAATTTGCTCCTTGTCAGCCTAAGCAGCAGGGGGCCACAGGGGATAGGGAGCTTCCGTCCTGGTCCTGGTCCTGGTCCTGGTCCTGCTCAGCTCCTCCAAGAGCTGGGAGCCAGTCAACGCCAGGACTGGGGAGGTCTCTGCCACCTGTCCCAGCTCTTGGCTCAGAGCTGGCTGCTCTGGAGGGTGAGTGGGGGCTGGGAATCCAGCTCTCATTTGTCCCCTGGAGCATAGCATGCACCATGTGGGGCTGCTCTGGGGGACAGGTGAGGGCTGGATTCCTAGCCCCCACCCACTACCCGAAGCAGCCAGCTCCCTGCCAAACAGGGCAGATGCTGGTGAGCTCCATTTCTCCCCCACCTCCTCCCACCTACCCAGCAGGAGGCTCACTGGCAGCTATCCCACATTCAGGACAGCTCCTGGCTGGGGGCTTCGTGGCAGCTGTGTCCCCCCACAGCCATGGAGCCAGGAGAGCTCTGCTGGCTGCAGGGGCAGCTCTCTCCTGGCGCCATGCACATCAGGTCCTTTTCCAATGTGCATGGGGTCAGGAGACAGCTGCCACTGCAGCTGGCAGTTCTCTCCTGGCCTCATGCCTGCTGGGACTAGCCCTGTGCCCCCTGCCATCCCCCAAGCTAGTGCCTGGGGAAACCTGGAGCTCCCCTGGCTGCTGCAGGGGCAGAGAAGGGCCGGAGCTCCCATGGAGCAGGGAGTACCAGGCTGTTCCCATTGGGAGCAAATCTGCTCCCAAGAGGGAGCATGTATAGATGTAGTCCCAGGAACCCTACTGTGATTTATTAGCTCATGTAAATGAGTCCAGTGTGAACCAAAAGCCTAAAAAAGAGTATTTATGATCGAACCAGTTTTTGCTTTTTAAAAGTGTTTTTAAAATATTTGAAACTGGGAAATATATTTCATCTTGCTCAAAAACTGCAAAATAATGTTTATAAAACAAATTTACTTCCTCTTAAAGGTATTTTTAGTTCAGAGCAAAACCCAAGGAACAAATTATGAACCCACAGGAAAAAATGGAAGGGGTAACTCTAGTCTTTTTTGCTTATAATAGTGCATTCGGCTAGTATTGGTGGGTATTTGTTTGTCTTTTATAGTACTAATAACATGCACAGTTCAGTTCAGTGTAAATCTTTATAATCAGAAGTAAGATGTTAACACCTAGCACATAGAGAAGAAAAATTTGTGCCTTTTTGTAAATAATGAACTAATATCCTAGTAACTGTAAGCTGCAAACTATAGGTAGTTCTACACAAGACATGAAGTCATTGTAGTACAAATGATAAAAACACAGGCACTGGACGTTGGTTTTGACTGCAGAAACATGCAACTACTGAAATGTATGGAATACATTAATTTTACCTGTTAAGACTACTCTTTCCATCAATAATAAAATTAAATGAAGCAAATGAAATATAACCTTATTGTACTCATCAGTTTAAGGTACCAGTTATTTGAGTATGGTAATTCCTTTAGTTTTTTGTTTTGACCAGAAAATAAAATGTTAGAATTCTTCCAAAGGTTTATTGCCAAGATTAGACATATGACGCAATACCTTTTCTCCAGTATTGTACAAGGAATGGCAGGGTGGTACCTTAAGACTAGCTGGTTCAAAGAGGCATAGGTGACAACCTACTCTGTCAGATGCACAGTTAACTACCTGTTTCCAGTATTGTAGGACTCTTAAGTTTATCCTTAGCTATACAGAGATTGATTGTTGCATGCTTTTTCATTGCACCCTTGGTTTCCAAAACTGCTGAGAAGTTCTGCTGGCCGAGAAGAGGAACAGCTTATGCTTTCCTCAGTATACTGCTTGTACTCTTCCAACCAAGCCTGGTGCCCTGTCCCTTCCTGCACTGGAAGCCACCTACCTGTAGCAAGCCAATCAATTCCTCTCTGCTACACCTCGGTCATGAACACTGGAGCACAGCAGGGGTGCCCTGCCCTACCAGTTGACCTTGGCAAAGCCAGCTGATAGTCACTAAACTCTCAGCTAGGTTACAGGTTTCATCTAAGACAATTAGGATACAAACTTCAGAGCTTCTATTTGAAAGTTTCCATTGTATTATAAGAGACTATTTTTTTCTCAAACGTGTAAGCTTTAGGATCGTTTTGTACAGTATTAGCACTTATTTTTAAGGGGTCAGGACATATGAGGTACCTTTTAATCCTTTGGCTGCCACAAATATCCATTTGTCATCCCTAAAATTCACCACAGTCTCCTTGCTTGGGGGTGATTCAGTTCCCTCTGATGACTGAAATTTCTCTTTACAACTGTGTGTTTTCTCTCTTAGTATGCATGTCATGTAGTATTTTTACTGTGTGAAGCAAGAAAGCCTCTTTACAAAGTTTTCACTTCTGCCTGTAATACATGAGCACCTATCATGTAAATGCCTTTATTGTATCAGACAAGGTTCTTTGGTCTGATCTCTTTTATGAGACCAAATAAATAGTTGGAAAAAAATTCTTAGCAAACTTTTGGGTTTACAAACCCTTTGTCAGGCTGAGGAAGCATCTGTAGTTAGTGTGTGCTCTTCCTGGATGGAATGAATAGTATCATGCACTTACTAAAAAGAAGTAATTTATGAATAGTGTAGCACTTCTTTCAAACCAAATATCTCACACTTTAGTTTTTTCCTCTCCTGTACAATATTTAACTGCTTTGACCTATGCAGGAAGACATACAACCTCTCTGAATAGGCAAATTTCATCTCATGTATCAGAGAATTTAATTCTTCTAAGACAGGTGCTTATGTATCTGAAGGCTCAATGAAGCTGAAAGTTTGTGGTGTTTTTAACTACTATTAAATATACATGCTATACTTTTGTGTAATTAAAAACTTCCCAGAAAGGGAAAGAAAAAAAGAAATCAAAGAGTGACAGTATGTGTGAGCAGAAGAAAAATAAAAAGGAAATGGAGTTTGAGCAAAAACTTGCCAAAGAAAAAGAAGGGATGTTGGAAAGAGAAAAACAGCTGAAAATTAACCGGCTTGTACAAGAGGTATGTTGTTATAGGCTCTGTGCTATGTTTCTTTACAATTTCTTTCTTGTTCCTGCTTTCCTTACTGAGGAAAAACCCCCTTTTGACTCTAACAAGAATATTGGCCCGAACTAAGTAAGGTATTTAAGCAAATACCTCCAGGCCACCCCTTCCAGCCCTGTGCATGTGTGTGAGGATCCTATTTCACTAAAATGCATCTTATTTATTATATTTAAAATATGTTGCTTAACTGGGGGACCTTGTTTGTTTGCGGGTGGTACCTCAGCAGAACCAATTATGGATGTTCAGTATACCTTGTATCAGAGAAGATGTACCAAGCAAATGCTGGAAATGGTGCTCACCACTTTCCTTTTCTTATTCATAAGGACCTACCGAATTCACAGCAGAAGTGGGCTGTGTGGCAACTCTTTAAATCTTGCAGGTTCCCCTGCGTACCTCCCTCCTACCCCTGTTGCTGATGGGCTGAGGGGCCCTGGTGGGCCCTGCTGCTTGTTGCTGACCAGCTGGGAGGCAAAAACAGTGCCATATTTAAAACTGTGTTTTTTGCTTCCCTGCCAATCAGGAGCAAGGGGCGGGGCCCCTCTGCCAATAGATGGGGATGGGGGGGTGCACATGGGGGAACCTGCAGGATTAAAGGAGCTGCCGCACAGTCCACTTCCACCATGAATTCGGTAGGTTCCTACTTATTCATATTTTGTTGCCCAGAAAGTAAGCTGCCTACAAAGATGAAAAATGGGAATTTCATGTAAGAGAATTGTAGAAAGTAAAGAATTTCTAATAGGAAAAAAGGATACAAAGAGAATGTTTAAATTGAAGTAATAAAGCATAAAACTCTGCTAACTGTAAACATTAAAGGTGTGACAATTATTTAAAAATAAGTATATGACAAATTTAAGAAAAATAGAACCTTGAGTCAGCAGAAATGGAAAACAAGGAAGTGGTACTTTTTAGGTTATTTGAATAGAAGGATCTTACCTAAGGCTTTAAATTTTTATAAGTTTAAAAAAAAAAAGTGTATCCTCTTGACATGTCAAAAAGACAATGGGTCAAATTTTTACTGTCCTAACTCTGACTTGAATGGGGTTATAATTACCAGAGAATATGTTCTAGTGTCAGAGACTTAAATAACGTACAAGAAAATTAATTGTGCTGTTGCAAACATATTGATGTGAACCTGCACTTCCTAGTTTATGAGATTGGTTCTCACCCTAATGAGAAGTCCAGTTGATTAAAGATTACTCCACTGGTGCACGTAAAGGTTTTCACGGATGAGGCTATTGGAACAAGTGAAAGAGGAAGTGAACTACCAAAGCATAAGCAGTTTTGCAAAAAGGATTTTAAAGTACATTTTCCATGTTGAAACTTATGTGTGTTGTAACTATCTTTGTAACTTTTTTTCTGCAATGCTGATATGGTTAAGGTCTCTGAGACAGAGAGAGAAGACTTAGAGGAATCAGAAAAAGTGCAACACTGGGTAGAAAGACTTTGTCAGACACGGTTAGAACAAATTTCCTCTGTGGAGAATGAGTCTCCTGAGGTAAAAACAAGCTCTTGCTTATTCATCATTGCAATAACTGAATGCCTTTGTATTTTTTCCTGTGAACTCAGTCAGATTTCACACAGTGTAACAAAGCAGAATCTATCCCATTCTTTCTGTTTTTAGCTTTGTTTGTTAAAGATTGACATACATACTGTTTGACACTCACAGTTTTTATAGAGATTGTCTTGTTTGAGAAATATATTATCATTGGTAAATTTGACCATATTATATCCATTGAAAAAGCAGTATGACCACAGTTCAGTGTACTGTTAGACGACTATGCTAGAGTAGCTGGAAAAAAGCCATATTGAAGCTGGATACAAGGATTTTGCCACATCTTCTAATGAACTTTTCGGGTAAGATTGCTTTAAAGAAGATATCCTGGATATTCAGGATTTTGAATGCATCCTAGTACTAGGTAGAACAAAGAATAACAAACAGCTAGACCACATCCCTTGAAAACACTTACAGGAGAGGCTTAAGAAACACCACAAGAATTGCTTGCAGCATTTCATTCAACTCTTCCCCCTCAAAGAGAAGGACACTGAGGGATAGAGAAAGTAGGCTTGTGGCCTTATGACCATAGGGACCTACATCCAGGGAGGCTTTCCCACCATCCTGCTGCTCTGGCTCTCCTCCCAGCACAGCTGCTTCAGCAGGAAAGCTGCTTTTTGTTATGTTCCCTTGGGGAAAACTGAGGAACTGCAACCGCAGAGGGGACCTTGAGAGATTCTCACTTGGCTATTATTGGGTCAGCTTGGAACCAAGTTCCAAAGAGCAGCTGGGTCCTCTGCTCATGCTGACCCTGGGCTCAAAAGCCATGTGGCTTTCTAGTGTTCGAGTCTTTATAGGGTCTGCATGAGAGGGTTGGGATTCTCTAAAGATGCCTCAAGCATTCAGTATTGACTGTGTCCATCTGGTGGATCTTATTGTCTTTCACTGGTAGAAATGGCGGGAGCAGGATATTGGGGCCAAACTTACATGCATTGTTAAAGCCTCCCTTTTTCAAGATAGGCTTAATGTACTATAGTTGTGCTACCACTTAATTAGTCTATTACTACCTGAACAAATTAAACTGATATAAAAATGCAAAACAGGATGCTTCTAATGAATTAACATAGCTGAGCTTTTAACAACTCTTCTACAGCATAGCTACCACTAGGTAGCACACATCCACGAAAACAGCAGCAATGCCCAGGGATTATTGATCAGCTAAAGAGATGTCAATTTTAATATGATAGTGGTATCTTTTGGTACTGAGAAATTTAGTTGAGAGTATTCTTTTGTTCAGAGATCCACCTAAAGAAGTACAATCAAATACAAGTAGGATACATATCTCAGTTTCTATAGAGGCACTGTAGTCACTCCTCATCAGAGTCCACAAGATGGTGGATAAAAGAGAATGTTGGCTGACTGGACTTTCAGAAACAGCTTGACCTCTAGGTAATAACCAGAATTATATACATATAGAATCCCTCAAATCTGAATTAATTACTCACTTCTGCAAAATTTGTAATTCCTATATCTGCTCTCTGGTTCATAAGCCCCTCAACAGCATATGCTCTGTACGGACAATCTAGACCTTGTACAGCTGCATAGATCATAAAAGAATGTAGACAGCAGAAAATCCCTAAGAATGACAAGCATGTGTCCTTTTCCCATATACAGCTCACATACACACCCACACTCAGATATCTGAGACCTCACCTACATCACACATGCCATCCAGGTGAATGTACTCTGGCACATACAGGGGCTTCTAGTGCACAACTGAATTTTCCAGGATACCATAACTCTGAAATCCCTGCTATTTTAATTTTCATAAACATTAGTGCTTTTTAAAGATTCTCAATCCTGCTCTCCTTATTGATAGCCTTTACAAGCATTTCTCCAGCCTTATGGCTTTTTAATTGCCTAGAAATCCATTTTAGAAAAAAAAAAACTGTTGGAAAGCAAGATTTTTACTTTTGCTTTCTGTGATTATGCTATAGTTTTACCTTCTGAAATGTCAGTTTGTTTTTTTTCTTTTTCGAAACTGCAGTTATTACAGCATTCTGTGCATTTTAGCTGAAATACCAGGGAGGGTTTTCTGTATATAAAAAAGCTTTAGAAAAATATATGTGCCTATTTTGTGAATAAGAACCTGAGAGCTTATAATACTGAATTAGTTGCATCTTAGCACATGCCATTAGCTTCTTGAGAATCCCCCTCATGAGAAGATGCACAGTTAAGACAGATTTCTTTTGTCATTACACTAGTTGACAAGTGGACGGTCTTCTGCTTCTCCTTCTGCCACATCAATGCGGAGGTTTGCAGGTGGCCTGCAGCTTCATACCACAGATCTTGATGATATTAATTTAGACGAGATTGACAAGCCTAAGAAACGTGTCCCACCTCCCCCTCCGTCACCCCACACACCTTCTGCATCATCTGCAGCTCATCCACTTCCTTCATCAAATGTTCCACTTTCAAGAGGCCCAACCCCCTCATCCTCTGCAGCTTCACAGGTGACTTCATCATCTGCTTGGATGCATGTATCCCAACCTCTTCGACCACCCCCACCTGCCCCCTTGTCTGCTCCGCCTAGTGAATCTCTTCATCCACCACCCATCCTCTTAGAAGAAAGAGTGGGCAACCACAGCTACACTGGTGGCCCCACAGAGTTCTTGAATGAAGCCAGAAACTACAATGGAAGATCTACTTTTGATCCTGTTAGCTCTCAGAATAGTGAACAGACATACTTACAAAGTCCAAAGGTATAATTTGACTACATTTCTCCCCTTGTTGCATATATGTACCTCATGATAGCAATGTGTACAAATAACAAGTGGAGAATCTACCTCTGTGTGTGTTCTAAATCTGCTGCATGCAAAAAAAAAATGTGCAGAATGCATGAGCTAATAGTGCGTTTGTCCCCATTACCCAACAAATTTTAAATGCTAAGAAATCATGTGGCACATTTAAACCAATCCTCCCAGCTATAAAAAATAGGAGCACTGTTGTTTCTAGCTGCTGTAGATATAATGTATGTGTAGAGTAGAAGATTTGTATCTAGATAACTTTATTTAAATGCAACTCTGATTTGTTTTCCTCAGTAATGCACAAGAACATTTAGCTTGAAATCAGGCATTCACTATTTCTTAATCTCAGCTGAGCACCAGTAGTAGTGATCTTTTTAAGGAATGTTCTTAAATAATCTTACTACAAATTCAAAGAGTTTTCCCTTTTTGAAAACAAAAGATATAATTTTTCTGAGGAAATATTCTGATTGCTCTCTTATTGAGAACTCACTGGATTCACCCCAAAGAAAGATCTTCCATGTTGAATTCTCTTTAAAAAGAAAAGTCATACGTTGAATCCCATTGTGAAAGGGAAAACATTCTGTGACTTGATTATAACAGTGTTCTACTTTTTTAAGGACTGTAACATCAGGTACATACTGAATTTTTGTTTCAAAAGAAACTTCTGCAAATATTTCATATTAACTTCAAATAGTTTGAGTGAATTATAACACTTTTCTGCACACTTTCTGCATGGAAACTATATATTGTGTTTGCTGTGAGGTTTTTTGCATGATCACATGGAATAATGATGATTTTGGATATATTGCAGTCAGGCAGGGGAAGGATATGCACAGAGGATCAAAATGACTTGTTAGTTCTCCCTGGAAATCAGTTTAATGGGATTGCATTGGAAGAGCAAATTATGAATCATTGTTATAATCACAGATGAATCAATGAGGCACTCCACAGACAGTTTATACTGAAATTTCAGTAACACATTGACATTAGGTGGAAACTAAGGGATCAAGTAAAGGAAACAGATAGGACATGTCCCCCCAAAACATGAAAAACATAAATCTAGAAGTGGTAGTATTTAAGTGATGTTGCAGCTGTTCATGGTTGGTCCAATAAAAGATATTGCCCACAAAAATCCTTACCTCCTGCCTAAACATAGACAGCTTTCCTTTAGAGGGGTCTTGGTGGCAGCCTATATTAGGGGCATACATCAGGGCCTGGGGGACCATCTGCTCACCAAGGCACCCCAGGGAAAGACAAGAAATAATGGGCACAAACTGATTGAAGATTGCTTCAGATTGGACATAAGGAAAAACTTTACGATTCAAGTGCTGAGAATCTGGAACAGGCTCCCCCCAGAGGTGGTACAGTCATCTAGCCTGGCGATCTTCAACAAGTGTCTTGACACCTGCCTTGCTGGGGTCATGTGACCCCAGCAATCTTTCTTGCCCAAGTGCAGGGGGGCTTGACCTGATGATTTTGTAAGGTACCTTCCAGCCCTAACATTCATAGATTCATAGATGTTAATAGGAAATTCCTATATAAAAAGAAACATAGGACTGGTCAGACTGGACCCATCCTAAGAACTGGACATCTGTTCCAGTACTCTGTCTCTGAGGGTGTCCAATAGCAGATGCTTTAAAGTAGTGTGTAAGAACTCTGAGGTTGGCAGAACTCTTAGGTAGATAATATATCTAATTTTAGTGATTTAAGATATTTAGTTGGTCTAATAAAAGATATCACATCTACCCAGAGAACCTTGTCGGCAATTAAGATATACATTTGGGCTAGTACTTTTAAAAATGGATGCTTGAAGTTAGGTTTTTAAATCCTCATTAAGCAGCAAAATAAGCTGCCTTATTTTCAAAAAATCAATAAAGTGTGGATCCAAGAGGAGGTTTTAGTTCTTAGTCCATACAATATTAAGCCAAGCCAACTCTCTTTATATGTTCGTAATCCAATTGTCTTTGCAGGGTTTCACACATGTAACTGGTTGAGAATCTGCCCCATTGTTGCTGATTACTTTTTCAACAGCATAGTTCATATATTTGTGGTGAAACACACTTTTTTGTTAAGAAAAAGTTGCGGGGGGTTGTATCCCATCTTCTAAAAACATTAACTCAGCTATTTCTGATTTACTGAATAAATCTATCCAATTTTAAAAATGTTGTATTATTATCCTAGCCAAAGCTAATGGAAAAAAAAGATTTATTGTTGTGGCCTCACAAGTATGCTTTTTTAATTTATTCAAATAGACTTCCAGATCTTATCAGTATCAGCAGCTTTCTTCCCTGGCCTATTTAATTTCAAGTCTTGCCTGCTGCTTGCTAGTGCTATGTGAGTGAAATTGCCTGTTAAATGTTCTTTGTCCATGAACTGTTCATGGATAAATTAAGAATTGATCTGAGATTCATAAGTATGATAATTAGCTTTATGGTGAGAACCCTGTACTAAAGCTATTATTGTTTAGGTTTTAAGAAACACCTCTCATGTCAGCAAAATGACACCTGCATCCAGCAGTTCACTGGTATGTTATGTACTTTTAAGCATGCATGTAGTTTTTATAAATTTCCTGTGCAATGTTCATTCAAGGAAATTAAAAATAATGGCGACTACAAATAGGTGCAAGGTCTGATTCTATCACCAAAAAGCATGCCCAGTATATCTTAAAATTTATCAAGTGGCTTCATGCAAGGTACTCACAGCATTTATAGGATACTTACTCTGTAATATCACCTATATATGCAGAGGTAGGGCTGGCCCGCAAAATTAAAAAAAAACCCTCTCAAGAGTGAAGCTTCACATTTCAAAGTCTTCTAGTAATATAAGCTTAGAACAGGTGTGTTCCTTGTGTAGCCTGTGTTCTGTGCATGTTTCTGTCCGGGCAGACAAACAGCACATGTATAAGAAAATCCTGTGTGTTTTTATTACAAATTGTGTTAGTTTTACAGTTGAATATAGAATAATATGACAACACTTGGATTGTGTTAATGAGAAGGTAACTAGAGATTAAGTCGTATTACAAGCAACATGTCCTCAGAAAAGATGGTCAAATCTGTAAACAAAACTTCCAGTAATACATGAGTATCATGTTAATGGAGGTGGTTCTTCAACTTCTTCCCATGCAGAATTCACCAATTGCTGCCCTACAGATGGTCAGTTAGTTTTCCCTTTCAGACTCCATATTGTAATAGAAACATACTGGCTGCTACTGCTGAATAAACCCAGAACAAAATGTGCGCCCAGTTTAGATCAATCGTTATATGAAGTGACATATTTGGAATCTGTTACGGGCTTCCACTGTCAGTGGACAGTACATATAGATATTGTGTAGAAGAGAAGGCATTGATGGAGAATCTTTACCTCTCCCAGGACCAGCAAGAACAGAGATCCTTCAGCTCACAGGACTGAGATGAAGGAAGTCACAGCTGACACACTAGCCCTTATTACACACCCACAGGCTTACCAGGAAATGTGGTATAATGGATGCCATAAATCTGATTAGAAAATAGTGTCTCTGTTCTGTATTAGTTAGATTAGATCCTTTAATAAAGTTCGGTGCAGTGTAGCAGTTATGTGAAGTGTCTATGCAAAGTAGCAGTGCAGATGTTTTTCCAGGATCTTGTGCTGGGAAAGGTCTGTCAGTGATAGGAACTGTTGAATACCTTGGTGATTCCAAGAACTTAGCGTAGAATCTTTTCCTATCCTCTTCAGGTCTTTACATCTCAAACATCAGTAGCTTGCAATGAACAAATTAAACAGAAACTAATTTTCTTCTCTCCAAAATAGTTTCTTAAGAGGGTATAGTAGAAAGTTCCACATTGAGAGAAAACACATATGCCTGGCATCTATCCATGCTGGCTTTGATTCAAAGGTGCTCAAGATCTGAGTGTTCTCCACTAGGTCACTCTACAGAGTCTAGTCTCAGCAGTGTGCAGCTCCCAGAGATGTCGTTCTAATAATGGTAATCCTAAAATTTCCATGAAGAGTTTCAAAGACCCAAGTCTATGACTTCTTTATTCTGAATTCTAAAAATATTCCCTTTTTCTGTTACAAAATGTGTAGGGGGTGAGGCAGTTGTAACCTGCTTAGCAGACATCATTCATATAATTCTCATAGTAGCAGCTTCTCCTATATGGGATCCATTATGTTTCCTATAAGAAATGTCAACCAGGCTGACTGTTGCTGGGACTGATTCAGGAGCTAAACCCATTGAGTTCCATTCTGAACTCATTACTTCCATTGACATTGGTGGGAACTTTGCCTGAGTAAAAAATGTAGGATGAGGCTCAATGCTTGTATGTACCAGATGATTATTCCTCAAATGCCTCTGGTTATTTACTGTATTTTGTAGAGCCAAGGGACTCTAACTAGTGTAGCTAATGTTTGCACTTAGTCCTAGGATAAGTCATTTTAAAATACTTCTTGTGGAATAATTGTAATTACAGACCTGGTAAAGTTCTCCTTAAAGGATCATGGTACACACCTTCCTAGAGCAGAAATGTAATACTTTCACAATTCCCATTCAAACTTGCTATGTGTTTATAGTCATGGTTTAGAATTTCTTCTGTTCCTCATTGATCAGTTAGTTGCTTCTATGTGATAGGTGCCAAATACAAGGTTAAAATTTTCCATCATTGCTGTGGTGAACTCAAAGTTTAAGGAAAACAAGTAATTTATTAAAATATAACAGTAATTATACTGTGTTCTGGTTAGTTAGCATTACAGGTCAGATTAAGTACCTCTGAAACTTCTTTATATACTAGTGGCCATGAGTTCATAGCACTGAAGCAATTGTAATTGCATTGTCTCTGTTTAAATGATTGGTTTACAAAAATGCATTGTCAATCATAATGTTCTTAAATTGAACCCCTATAGCAGTTTGCTCCAAGTCCACCTACCCAGCATCGACCAGGGATACCAGTAGTCTCTAAGCCAGTCATGCTGCACCCTGAGTCTAATTCTATTGTCAGGCCAACAATCAAATCCGAGGCCCTGGTAAGCCTTTTGAATGTTTTATTTTTCCTGAGTGCTGCAATTTTGTGAGGTTTATTCTTGCTCAGTTGTCTTCAAAGGGTCAAAGTTTTCTGTGTATCAAACACACATTGACTTCTTCTGAGTGATCAATAGAGGTAAGTACTAAAAGTCTCCATCTGGTTCTTGACTGAGTCTCTTTCTTACAAAGGCAATTTTTAGGCTTCATCTTAATTCAGAGTAATAAGCTCTACCTCATATGGCTTGTAGATATTCTTGGCAGGGGTTATACATAACATTTATCCTGCATTTCTGTGTTCATGTATCAAAAATTAAATAAAGTCTATAAGTGATGAAGCTAACAATGTTAAGTTTTGCCTTTACAAGGAAACATAAGCATATTTAAAATATATAAAACATAAAATAATTCTTTTCTTCCCAAGGAAAAATACATGCATTGTTAAATCGTACCCTGCTGTATACTAATCATGTGATTTTTCCTGTTAAGCAAATTACAGATAAATTATTTTTTTCCTATCTGGTTTAAATCTAAATCAAGATAAGATCTTAGGCTGCTTACAGGCGTTAAATCAAAAAACCCTGCACTTTACCTGAAGAAGTCATGTGTTACTTCGACCCGGCTCTGCAGCATCTGTATAGATTGGGTGCTTCAGCAAGCTTCTTGGCACTTTTATCTAATAGCTGATCAGCTATTAGATAAAAGCACTAAAAAAGCCCCACTAGAGCCTGATCTATACCAATGTTGGGTGAGCCGGGTCCAACTAATGTGCATGTGCTGGGCTCAGCATAGGAGTGCACCTAGTTTAAAGTAAAGTGCTGGGTTTTTTAACATCTGTAAGCAGCCTTAAATTAAAAATCTTTTATCCAAATCTTGCACCTCTCCTAAAAAAATATTTATAGCAAGGACTGCAAGTTTGGGCTCTTTTTAAAGCACGAGAGATCATGCATAATTTTGAAGGTGAGGACTTAACCTTAAAGTCTTTACTTGGGGAAAAAACTCCAGTTAAAATCAATGTAAGTTCTACCTGAGTAAAAACTGGTGATCCACATCTGACACCATTATCAGCACTTCCTCATGAGAGTAATCCTATTGCATAAATTAGAGTTGCAGCTCTTCTTTTTTGACAGCATGAGTGGAGCCAGTGTAATCTCATCCTCCTTGGAGCCAATGGAAGGTCTCCTAAATAGTGAAAAATGTCCCATTTCCTTTCTTTTAATTACAAGCTCATGTTATGAATACCGAATTCTTCAAAGTTAATGTGCATTTTGGCTCCAACCATGTCTTTTATGAAAATGGCTTGTTTCTACTGAGGCTTCTCCTTTAATAATTTATTCTTCTGTCTGAGTTTTCAGCATTACAGTTAGTAAAACAGATGCAGTAACCATTTAATGATTGGTTTTGCCAAAGACTGTCTGCTGAGGGCTGCTTTATTATACATGGGATGAAATTACTATGCACAATATTGAGCAAGCTGATTTTTACAAGACAAACATCAATTTCTGCCCTCGCATGAGTTTATAATTTACTAGTTAAGATCCTTCCAGTCAACATATTCCTTTCAATTGTATTCGTGCATAGGCAACACGTAGGGGGGGTCATGGAGGGGCACGTGCCCCCTCCCCCTCCAAGAGTACTAGTACCCCTGTGAGAGCAAGGACTCTTGCTGGTAGGGGGGCACGAAGAGCGCTAGTGCCCCCCCTGGAATTGGGTCCACTGGTGGCATGGCGGCAGGCCACTGGGTGGACACACCCCCCCACCCCCGCCAGCCGTTCCCTGCTGGTGCTCCCCTGACTCGGGAGGCACCAGTTGCCCATGTATTCATGGAAGCTTCTTTAGCTTTGGAATGTGTGAAATAGATCATTAATTCATTTGTTGTCCTCTCCAAAGCAATTTGAAATTGCTCAGGAGGTTGCTCATCCAGCATTAAAAACAGGGTAGAACATACAGTTATAAAATTGTTGCTCTGTAAGAGACAGAACTTACTGTGTGAGCACGCAGCATTGACGTAAGATGACAAGGATGCTCAAATAGTATAGCTGCCTGCTTTCGATGAGTCTTCAGGAACTAGAAGCCTCCACAGGGACCATTCATATTGCTCATTATGTAAACACACACATTTTCCAAATCTCAAAACTATTATCATGTTGCAGATGTCAGTTTCCTTTAGTCCCAAGATGCCTTATAACTAATTGGGAATTCATAGATGGAAGGAGTGCATATTTTTCTGATATGATATTTTTCTGATTTTTCAAAAGTAAATTGCACTGTAAATTGCATTTTTCAGTCCTTTCACTCTCTAACTTGCTACTATGATTTGGTTTGTTATGATTGTTTGTACTGGTTGTAGCTAGGTTCATCGTAAATTATAAAGTAGGGCTTACACAGCTATTTTAAAAGTGTGAAAAAGGAAGAAATCTTTTTTTAATCAAAAAAAAAAAAGCAGGCCATTCTATGCTCCAGAAGGCAAAATGTATACAGGCCATAATTCCACAAATTTTAAATATTTATTTTTAGTTTTGTGCAGAGGGAAGAATGTTTATTGTCTTTCCTGATTCACGTAAAGGCTGGGAGGTACAAAAAGTTCAGCAGCTCCTTCACATAAATATGTGAAACAACTAAAGGCAAAATAGGTTTTCTTTTCTAATACCTTGCCCCTCTTCTTGCATATGACCTCCCATATAAAATGTCTACTATGGTTTGATTAGTAAGACCTACATAATGCACAAGTCATCAGAAACTAATGGTGATGGATTAATTAACAGCCCAAATGGGTATTAATGAAGCAACCCATTAGTTATATCACCAAAAGTGATTGAGAAATAATAATTATTATTATTATTTTAAAATTGCTGACCATGAGCAAAAATGCCTTCCATTAAAGAGGAAGCAAGCCTCCAAGCAGAGAGGCTCTCTTACTTCAATTATCACATTAATTATATTTAGACTAGGAACTCTAACTCTTCCAGCTGCTCATGAACATATAAATTATTCCAATTCATGGGTGGAAAAACATTCATAGGAGTTGAATCTCAAAAGGAGGCTTCGGTAACTCTCAGCCTATGTAAGTCTGGTAGCAATAGGAATGGTATGCTTGTGAGGCTCTACAAAGAAGGGCAAGAGAAGGCTCGTGGTGAAACTGTTCAGTCTGGTGCAGAGAGCTGTAGTCCTTTGTTGTGATTAGATACAGTAGGAGGAGTTTCACTAAGGCAAGCCATTCTACCTGCTATTTTCTCACTAGCAATTTGATATGCAACTGGTGAGGAATATACAGGGAACAAAATGGGATTCTATAAATACGTCAAAAGTAAAAGGAAGAAAAGAAAAACCATAGGTCCCTTACAGAATTCAGAAGGCAATCTGCTTATGGACAATGCAGAGAAAGCTGAAGTATTTAAGACCTTGTTTACTTTGTTCTTTACAAATAGTGCAGCTACGTGATGATAAGTGCAGTTGACAGCAAAGACAAGGAAAGAGACAACCTAGGGCTCAGGCAAAAGTGCAGCTCCCTGCTATAACTCATGGCACGTCCTGGGTACTGTACAGAAGGTACTGTGGAGGTTACAGTGAACTGTAAGCAGAGTATGAGTCAATGGTTTATTCTTGTTGCAAAAAAAAATGCCAACAGCGTACTGAGTTGTATTAACAGAAAAGTTTCTTGCAAGTCAAGAGAAGTGATTCTTATACTTTATTCGGCCCTGCTGAAGCATCACCTGGAGAAGTGTCCAGTTTTGGGCTCCACACTGCAAGAAGAATGTGGACAGTTTGGAAAGAGTCCAGTGCAGAGCAACAAAGATGGGTTAGGGTATGATTTATGAGGAAAAGCTGAAAAAACTAGTGTTGTTTAGTTTGGAGAAAAGAAGTCTGAGCTGGTGATTTGATAACAGTCTTCAAATACCTGAGAGGCAATTAATGAGAGGATGGAGACAGGCTTTTCTGTATGGCTGTAGGTGACAGGACCAGGCGCAATGGCCTCAAGCTGCAGCAGAGGAAATACAGGTTGGCGATTAGGAGGAACTTCCTGATTCTGAGGGTGGTCGAGCATTGGAACAGGCTGCCTAGAGAAATTGTGAAATCTTCATCCTTGGAAGTCTTCAAGAGCAAGTTAAACAGACACTTGCCTAGGATGGTTTAGCCACAGATGGTCCTTCCTGGGGAGCACCTGAGCCGGGCCTGGACTAGGTGACTTTGCAAGGTCCCTTCCAGCCCTACTTTTCTATGATCTTTCTCAAACACCCATCCCATAGAAGAAGAGATTCTGATGCATTTGCTAGTGGTACAGTTTCTTTCTTTCCCCTCCTCCTTTGGTTGACATAGCTTTCTTGAAGGAAAAATGTATTACTTCACTTTTCTTCATTTGGGATTCAAGATTCATTTCTGTACTATGGAGGGAAATGAAACCTGAAAAAGACCCTTGTTTCTTCTGCAGTGTGCTGTATGGCAATTGATTGTCTTTTAACGCTTCAGCTTTTCCTCTGTTTTGGTAGTGTGGTGCTTCTGCCAAAAACACTAATGCTGAAAATGAAGATGCATGTGCCCAGAAGAGATTAACTATTTATTTTCAATTTTGTTGAAAATCTGGCCAGATGTTCACAATAAGCCTAGTCCTTTTTGACTGATCCAGTGAAATTGGTGATGGAAAAATTAGTTAACATTCAATCCTGAATTTAAAAATACATGATGTCCTAATCTATTTTGTAGGAGCACATTTTTATTTCAAAGAAGACACAAATCTGTTTCCCTGATTTGGTATGGTTTGTGTGTATATGGTTTATTTCCCCAATTCTGTCTTTTCTCAAAAACACTTGGAATTTCGTATGGTATTGTGTATTTGAGATCCTTTCAAACTATAGCTACCACCTGCTAAAATTAATCTAGGTATGAAATCAGTTTGTAAAATGTAAATAGTGCTGTTTTTATATTTGGTTTAACAGTTATTAATGAGTATTTTAAAATTACTAGCTGAAAATACTGTAGAGGAAAAATCTGCTTGAGTTAAATTAATAACCCCTTCAAAATGAACAGGATTTGATCTGTAAGAAACAGAATAGTTTCCCAAAAATAAGGCTCAAAATTAAAAACTCAAATGGAACTAATCTGTAAAGCAGAAACATTTGAACAATACCTCCATCCTTGTTCTGATTATCCTTTTCTTCAAAGAATTCATGGCCATTCAGTAAAATTCAGCCTCCAATATAGGAAATCCCTTGACAGAGGAGGCAGTTTTAAGTTTGCATGCTTAAGGCTCTGCTGTCATTAATCCATACATTTTCAAAATACTTTGCAGCATTTTTGCCTAGTACATGTTCCTTGACTTGAGGGCAGTCTTGCAGCATAGACTCAACACAGCCCTCTGAAAATTTACTGAGGGAAGTATAGCCAAATAATATGATTTGAAGAAATCATGTGCCATGGAGATATGTATTTGTTTTTCTGGTCCTTCTCACATGGAGAAGTATAAATTCCTTAAGTACATCCATTTGACATGGAATTAGCCCTGGTAGACAGAAGAACCAGTCAGGGACCTTTATATGCAATAAAGATAAATTATATATTGTTAAGTAATCTTTATTTACAGGGAAAAATTAATGTCTGGTTTGGCAATTTTCTTTCTTTTGCAGCCCCAAGAGATGTTTAAAAGAATGGTGGTTTACAATTCATCATTTAGATCTAACAAAAAACAAGTAAAATAACATTTTCCTTTTCCTTTGTGTGGTACTAACCCTTTCTTTCTCTCTTGTTTGTTGTTGCTTCCTTTGAGACCGAGGATGGAATACAGCCATAATGCATGAAAACTATGAGTCAGTGTAATTTTCATTGTGTGCATGTACTTCTCATCAGCCTAAACAAAAGCCATATATGAAGAATGAGGAATGAGTAGATATTGTAGAACAAATTCTTTTTTCAACCTGTCATGTATCGGCTGGTAAATTTAAGAGGGTTTAGAGAGAGAAAACCGAAGGCAGAATTGTACAGATAGTCTACTGATATTTTCTGCTAGTTGCTTCTTTGTTCCAAACCCTGCTTGTTGTAAGAGTAGCATTATTTTTCCTGAGTAAATGGATAGCATGCATTAGTACTGTTATTAGCTGACTGGGTTGTCTCTTAGAGCCTAAAGATGGAAAATACCTATTAAGGCATCTCTTTTGTCTCTTTTATGGTACAATAGTTTCCCTGTTATGCTACTTCTAGTGCTTTATTCTGTCCGATGTTGAATAATAATAATTAAATAATAAATAAAGTAACAAGGAAAGCTGTTCCATTTCTTAATAGAGTGTACTGTGAGGAAAGAGATGCATTTTAACTTCCTTGCTGCTGTTAAACGTGCCAGGTTGCATAAAATGCACCTTACAATGGTACATTTTACCATTTTACCTGATGACCTATCAGGGAACCCCAGGGTTCCACGGAAAACAATTCGAAAACCACTGCACTAGCATATTAAGAAAAACCACTCT